TCCCCCGAAACCAGGTTTCGGTTTGAATTCCCAAAAGGTTGGTTATTTCGATTTGTTTCAATAATTGTTTCAATTAGTGTACAAATTGAACTGATTTGATTTGGATTTCATTCATTCACAGGCCCTATGTCAACGCATGGGAATTTACCGACTCGCCCCCTTCACGGTGGCAAACGTATCGAAACTTGGCCCCAGACACCCACTATCAATTCAAGGGAAGACCTCGGCGACAATGACGTCGACTCGGAGCTGTCCAGCGAGCAGAGTTCGGACGAGGAGGAAGAGGAGGCCCAGGTGTGCCCTGCAGAAAAAGGTGAACAGCAGACATCACCCGACAAGGACAAAAAACGTAAGTTCTCCCGTTGTTCACATGCATGCCCATCTTTTGTACACGTACTGATGATATTTTTATTTCTGTTCAGCAATACTCACGAGCACCCAAGCCACCCTGTTGAATGGGACCACTTATCATCTGGACCTCGCCTCTTTCGAAAAGACCCTGGTTCATCAAAGGGATTGGATTGCGGCTTCGCTGGAACAACAAAAGGTCACAATGGAGGTCTTCGAGTCTTTGAGGGATACAGGGTATCGCATCGAAGGGGTGTTAGAGAGTAAGTGACCCCTCAACTGCTCCCTTTTTGCCTGTCCGTCATTTTTTACATTGTACTGATTGCTTCTGCGTTTACAGGCATCCGAAATGGTACCTATTGCAACAAGAAGGACTCTTTAGTCCAAGTTCTCGGAGTCCCGATGGAAGACGATTCCGTCAAAGATCAACCTCCCCCTGCCGTCCAACAACCACTCTTCCGTCCCGACGCCGAAGACGAAGACCTCGAACCTACTGAATCGCAGGACGCCACCGAGGGCGACGAATTCCTTCCCAAGGATTCCGAACCGGAGTACGAACCGCCGGCACCTAAACGCAGAGCGTCTCAGCGTATCGGCACGGCCAATTCCCACGCTGCATCCGGCTCCAAACCCGATACACCTTCGTCTACATCGAAGCACCGGACCCCTCAGAAAAAATCCAACGCACCCAGTTCCAAGGCGTCGTCGTCTCAAATGGGCGGCAAGTTTCCCAAATCAATTCCCGGTAATGACGCTCCATGTCCAATGCGAGTCAACCCGACGAGGACAGCGAAACAGACGGCAAGCAACAAGGCCGCTGCACCATCCCCGATTGTCACCCCAAAGGATCGTCCCAAAAAAAGGACTCGCCCTCCCCCTTCCAAGCCGAGTCCGCCTGCAGCTAAAGCTCCATCACCTCCGCCACCCCCAAAAAATCCGGACTTGCATCTTGCGGACGCCGGATTCCGGCGCATCAGCAACGATATCCTCGATTACGCACAGCGACCGTCTTGGTATCCACCCATGACAACATCCGCGGCCGATCCGTTTTACCTTTTATTCTCCACGCCCTTCGAAATACCACCGGATCGCAACGTACACTTGCCGATATCTCTGTATGTCAAACGCTATTGGGACACCGTGTTACATCATTCACAGCTCCCCCGGAATTTACGAAGCGGTCCAGATGCGTATCATCTGATGTTCTCTTGGCTTTGTGCCGTGAGGAGCCTCCCGGGGTGGAGCGCGCCGGATACCCGGGACTTGTATGACCGCTTGAACCCTTTGCTGACGGCTTTGAAAAGGGGGGAACGCCTTTTCGGACAGACCAGGCCTCCTCAAGGCATTCCACCTCCAGCTCTGCAGCCACGAACCGCCACTCCACCGCCACCCCCATCCCACATTGCCACTTCGACTGTCCTTGACGAACCCGCACCGCCACAAGTTACACATGAAGACAAATCCCCTGGTCCACAGCCCTCGCAACCCAACGATGATTTTGACATCGACATGGATCTCGCACTACCAGAGAAAATTGCCGAGGCCATCAGTGCCATCGAGGACCTCTTAAAACATCCAACTCATATTCTCGTTGGCCTTGCCACGGATGATTTTGCTGTGTTCTTTGATCACCCGCTGTGGCTTCCGTCCCCCGGTCCTGATGATGAGGATGGAAACTGGGGATCCTTCATCAAAGTGATGGATCAACAACTCGGGAAAGACGTCATACCAACCAAGTTTCGACGTGGCCCTCATGGCTTCAAAGGCCTATTCCGGCGATGGGTGATCACTTCCCGAGGGACCACCCATTGGTCGATGCCAAGTGAAGATCTTGTCCTGGAAGCCAAGCTGGACTCAATGATTACGTTCATTGAGTCTTGGCGTATTGCCCCCACCCTACCTATTGCCCCCAAGGTCACCATCACCAACACTCAATCCCCTCTCGACACGCCAAGCTCTGATTGCATCACGGACCACCAGGCCCTTGGCCAGCCTTCTTCGACACATGCCTCTACAGATACAGTTGAAGCCACCGTAACATTATCAGCCGCGGCTACTGAACCTCAACCCCCAGCGAGACCCAATCCACCTGTCATAGAGCAAGCCCAGCAAACGTCTGCTACAGAACCAGAACCGACCGAGGCCCTCACCAAGAATCTGAGCCCACCCCTGGACCCCAATCGAAGCCGCGAGGGGTATATGGCCTCTTCAGACAAGCGTCGTCCGGGAACTATTGATCCTGAACCCGCCAACAATCCTCGACCGCTTGCTCCTCCTGATCGAGACAATCTCGAGACATCCCCGCCTGGAAATGATCTTTTGCAATACTCAGGATCCAAAACACCACCGCCAACCCTGCTAGCTCCCGTGGGTCTCCCACTACCCAACCCCACCAACAACGATTTGGAAACATCGAGATCCAAAATCCCTCCTCCTTGCCCTCCTAAAAACCCGGAACCGGTCACGATCAATCCACCAGGCGGCATTCCTTCTGGTGGTCTTCCTATACCCGTCAATGCGGAC